CAGAAAAGGGGATCTAAAGTTGAGAAATTAAAGAAAGAAGTGATGGGATATTGAAGAAAGGGAGAAAAAGCACACTACCACAATCTTCACACGACATCAATCCTTGGTGGGGAGAAGAGAACGGGAGAAAGGAATAGCAGTGCAGAGAACTTCGAGGAGGAGCGCAAACGACTCCCGGGCATTCTTCTTCCATTATCAATATTGTTCTTCTTTTTCGATTTCCAAATTGAAGGCTTGATGGATTTCTTATTTCGCTTTGTGTTTTCGATTTCCATGGAATATGAGTAATTTATTTTCTAACTTAGATATGAGTTGAAGTTTGGGATTTGAATTTGTGAGACTTGGTTTTGATTTTAATCAGAAGTTCTCCAGAACTTTTTGGAGTCCGAGCCAGAGTCAAACAATCCTTTTTTGGGCTAATATATATATTTTGGGCTTTGATTTAAGGAATAGATTAATTGGATTAGAATTTGGGGTAACATTGAGTTTTGGGCCATTTTGGGCCTAAAAGAAATAAATAAAATAATAAAAAACCCCATGTCAAGTGTTAAGAAATAGAGAGAGATGAGAGAGATCAGCAGATAAAGACATAAAAAAACATATTTAGATAATAGAGTTAAATCAATGTATTTCATCCGATGACTTTTAAGATACCATTTCTCACTATGATGTAAAGAAGAAACAAATTAGCTAAAGACTCAACGGAGGATGGGTAACAAGAACAATTGAGTACAAAATCTAGTAGGATTTTCAATAGTGAAGAGTAAAGAAGTATGAAGTTATCTCAAATAAATGCAAGTTCTATGGGCAAAACAGATATGTATGAACATGATTGGTATGTAGAAGGCAGAAATACATCCTAAAAATGTGATGATTACAAAACGATTGAGAAACATGATTTGCTTTATGTTGTGCATTCTAGTGTTAAACATAGGAAGTTGAATGCAAATATGAGCTATTGACGAAAATGTATGTACCTTGAATCGTTTAGAGATATGCTAAAATAGGTCTGAGCATACTTGGAAGTACTTAGTTTGATTGGGAGCTTGAATTGGTGTGTGTGTGTGTGTGTGTGTGTGAGAGAGAGAGAGAGAGAGAGAGAGAGAGAGAGAGATTTTTAATGTAACAAGAGAGGAAACGTAAAGGGGTTTAGGGTTTTGAAAGCCTTGGTGATAATTCTATAATATTTAGAAAGTATATGGACTAGATTGAGAGAATTAAGAATTCGGCTGCCCTATTTTTCATGATTTACAAGAGTAATTTTTGTGAAACGAGCACTAAAGCTATTAGAATCTGTTGAGATATTTTAGATATTCAATTTTAGATTTAATAGATTTAAATTTAGATTTAGATTTGATCTTATCTTATTTAGATTTGAGTCTATCGAGTCTATTTATTATATCTATTTATAGGCCTCTATTTTCATTATGAATAATAATACAATTTTCCAGTTTTTGTATAATTTATTTATCATATGGTATCAAAGTCTATTTTTCTCATTGCAGTATATATAGCCTACTAATCCACGTTTCTCCGGGTACATTCAACCTGTAATGTACCCGGAGGTCTGCCAATTTTGAGATTTTCTATAGGTCCTAGTTCTTTCCATTTCTGATTTTGATTTTGTTTTTAATCTTTATTTTGTCTATATTTGAAGTCATGTCTGTGATTGACCTTTCGCGCGGTCAATCAAATATTTCACCTAATCCGTGATCATAATTTAATGTAATACAGTGGAAGGGATCGTCTCCACAGGGATTGTGTAATTCACTCTTTCGTATTCTAATGCAGTAAATACATGGGGATTTTTCTTTTATTATCTAATGAAAATAAAATAACAAAACAATTAAATTAAAGGGGAACTGACTATCAAAGGGATGTCTGTCTCAAGGGATGATACAATTATGGCACTTGTGTTTTATCATTAATTCAATAAAGTTAATTCTTATTAAAGTATAAATAAATTGGTTATAGTTATCAACAAGCTCTGACAACCAATTTTTTACTTACAGTGTAGGTAATTAAGGTACGACCGTTAAGTAACCCTAATTAAGCAAATAAACCTAGGTGCGCTAATAAGAATATTGCCTAACCGCATTGTAATCTAGAAAAACCCAATTCAAAACAATTGCTACCTAGGAGGAGCAATTAGATTTGATTGTCTAACCCCCGGGATTGAACTATTCAACCCGGTTGTCACCTATTCAAGTGCGAATACAATTACGGATATCCTACCTGAATTGACTTTAGATTATTAGACTAATTTAAATATCGGTACCAAAATATTCAATCAATCTAACAATCACAAACGCTATTATTAGAATTAGACAAATATTGATAATCAAAAAGAACTTTTATAAAGAAAATCAAGAATCTTCAAAACAAACGAACCAAAACATTATCACTCCTCAAATCAGGAAAGTATCTATTTTATAATCAAATAACAAAGAACAAAAGAGAAAGATAAAATCATAGTGAGAGGGGGAAATCTTCTCTGTCGATTTGCTCCTGCGCGATATATGATCTGTCAGTCTCCTGCTCCTGTGCGTTTCTGCCCTAGCCGTTCTCTTCTCCAAATAAGCGTGTCTTTTTCCTTCTTATTTGATTTTTGCCCTAATTATTTTGTAGATGGGCTTTTGGGCCTTTAATTAATTTTATTTCATTTTTCTGCCAATTATGCCAAATTTAATATTTGCCCTCTGCACACAGCAAATAAACAATTCGCATATAAATTAGGTAGAATCCAATCAAAATTATCCAAATTTCGCATATGATATGAATATAAAACGCATGCGATTTCTAACTATCAGTGATCTGTCTGTTGCGTTTCTTCAGAGCCATGTTTCTAACTACATTGAGAGTCCCGTTATTTTTTACTCCATCGAGAGTCCTATTATTTCCAACTCCATCAAGAGTTCCATTATTGCCGACTCCATCGAGAGTGCCGTTATTTTCGACTTTATCGAGATTGCCATTATTTCCTATTCCATCGAGAGTCCTGTTGATTTCGACTCCATCATGAGTCCGTTTTTTTTACTCTAATTCAGTTGATATCATTGTTTTTGGATTTGACACGGTCGAGCAGCGGTGGCAACAACAGACAAACAACTGTTATTTTTATTTGCGTCGTTTGCATCTATATTCAAATTTTTTTATCAAACTCAAGTTGGTTTCTGTTATAGTATTTGAGTTTGAGAGGGGGATTTTGAGATAATTTAGATATTTAGTTTTAGATTTAGTAGATTTAGATTTAGATTTGATCTTATCTTATTTAAATTTGAGTCTATCGAGGTGTATATATTATGTCTATTTATAGGCCTCTATTTTCGTTATAAATAATAATGCAATTTTTTAGTCTTTCTAATTTATTTCTCATAGATACATATTCTAGAAAGTTGCAAAATTAACTAGCAAGAGAGAAAACTAAATACAATCCAAAATGTAAAGTGAATGCAGTAAAATTATATTAGAAGGTAGTAATTTTGAAAGTTACAAATTTACAAAAATATTATAGGGCGGGTGAAAAAGGACAATGTGAATGATACAATTTTTTTCATAGTTTCTTTTCCTTATATCGAATCCTTGTTCATGATGAACAAGGGTCAAATGGAATTTGGAGTTCCATCCTTTGTGATTAAAGGGGTCAAATCTTGAGTTCATGAGTCCCAAATCATAGAAAACTCTTCAATGTAAATTTATAATTGCATCCCATTGACAAGAAACCCAATGTGATAATTTGATAAAGTAGGAGCACCAATTTGCATAGCTTTTTTAGGTGACACTTGTTTAACAGTGAAAGGCCTAGTCAATCACGACTTCAATTTTGATGGGAAAACATGCAACATGAAATTCTAGAGTAAGACTTTGTCTATTCAGTGAAATGTTTGCGGCAAATTATCTTGTTATTGTAAAATCTATCTCGCTCCTAATAGATCTTATAGTTTTCATAAGCAAGGAAGTGGAACATATCATAATCCATCAGGTAAGTCTTACTTTTTTTGAGCTGGCAACATATCAAAGTTCAAAAATTGAATGGTCAATTAGGCCTTATGTTCCAGCTCCAGAGGTAAGCGGTAAGATTTTTCATAAACTAATCTAAATGACGACATCTTTATTGTCATTTTGAATGTGGTGTGATAGGTCCAAAGTTCATCGTCCAGTTTCAAGGATAATCTTTTAAAAAATTTAAAATAGTTTGTAGAATGTATTTTAGTTCACAATGTCTCTCTTCAACTTGACCACTGGACTGCAGATAGTAGGGATAGCAAGGCAGAGTGAATGTGGTACCTCAGAAAAATTTCAAGGAACCATCAGTTAACAAACCGTGTGCCCTCATTTTTTAATAAAAGTTTTGAGAACACCAAAACACAAAAAATATAAAAAAAAAAAAATCAAATAAATTTTGTTACCTAAATCGTATCATTGGTGGGGGAGCAACTTCCATGACCCATTTACCAATATAATCCACTACAACCAGAATGTTAGTAATCCAATGATACTTGGAGAAGGGCCCTACAAAATCAATCCCCCATACATCACACTACCAAAAAAATGGCTATTTGTAGCAGCTTTAAAACCGCTACAAATGGCCATTTTTTGTTATAAAAAGCTATTTGTAACGATTTTGTACCAGATTTTGGCCGGTGCATATACTCGAGTTACAAAAAGTCTATGTACCGACATTTTCCGTAACAAAAAGTGGACAATCAACGCGCGTGAGAAATCTTTTTGTAACGGTTTTTGTAACGCTACCAATGTTTTTTGATTTATTTGTAGCGGATGTTTCTCGTAATATAAGAGTTGTTACAATAAATGTTCATGCATTTGTAATGGCTTTTGTTACGGTTTAATTTTTGTTACAATAAACTGATTGTCAGAAAAATATTTTAAACGACATTCATAATTTTTTGTACCGGTATTTGTAACAAACACAATTTCACAACAAAAAGAGTATCCTTATTTTTAGTAATAACAAAAAAAAAAAAATAGTATCTTGAAGCTTCCAAGATTGATTTGGGAGGCTCCTTACCGCGGATTAAACAAACACAAATATCCTCATTGGTATAATTAAGTTTCATCACCAATTCAGAGCTTTCCCTTTCACCAATACACTCCTCACAAACCTACTGATAAAGGAGAAAATAAACTTGATGACATGCACAAATCTGACATCAGAGAAGGTAACTTAACTGGCTCAGCAACCAATTCAAAGCCAAGACACAGATACAACTGTTTTACCTGTCCACAAACTCACTCAATAAATTATCTAAATAATAGGTACACTCATACTGCATTGCAGCTATGTTTGGTTAACTTCACCTTTCATATACCTTATACATTTTGGCAGTGGCAGTTACTTTAGGATGCCTAACTTACCAACAAAAGCACAATAGATAACCCACAAAGACAGTATCATGGGAATGTGTAACACAACATGCACCACATGACAAGGATTAGATTCAACCGATCACAATTTTAGACTTATTTACTTTAACTTTAATCAGAGTAAGTGATGGTATAAGAAATTATGGAAGACTAGGATTCCATAAAACTCAAACAAATAATCTATAATGCATGAGCAGAAGTATGGAAGATAGATCCATAATTACCTGTGGAGAAGTCTTAACAGTAGGCCTACCACACTGACTAGAATTGACTTCAGATATGTTAATACGCTCCTCAGAAGCAGGCATCTCCTTTTTGATTTATTGCACAGTATCATCAATCTCAATGCTGGGAGCAATACATTTGGACAATGTGCCACCCCAATCTTCACAGAGTAATTTCCAATCATCCTCCGTAAAAAATGTCAGTTGATCTGCCTAGAATACAAAGTGAAAAATGGAAACATGATATTAAACTACTCAAGCATAGTTTGGCTTCACAAGTATTGAAGGATTTGATCAAATATGAAAATAAAGTCCCACCAACAAATTTTTCTTAAAAAAGATCAACATGACATATTAGAGAAAGGGTGAAGGAGCTTGAGGCAAAAGAAAGTCGATATTTCAGAAAACACTTACAGCAGCAGACTTTTGGAAAATAAGATCCCTCTTCCAAACGAGTTCTGGGGGCCTCTCGAGTAGTCTACAATGTTGATTCAAATTATGGAAGTCAGGAAGCATATATATCATGTACATTATAGTGACAGAGAGTAGAAGAAATATAGCCAACTCTTAGTTTACACGAGTGCCATATATAAGGTATCCACCACCTAACACCGTGGGACATGACTAGCATTGTGCAAATTTACTGCCCCAAAGGTTCACACAACGAATTGAAGAAACAAAAAGAACAAATTTCAGAATAAAGATGGAAAAAAAAAGGAAGAAAAAAGGATTGCAGAAAACCTCTTTACACAGAAGCTTATCAATAACAGTATCGATCGTATCTACTTCGGCAGAAGGAGCATTTTTCCCACTAGCATTAATATAGTTTCTCCACTTTGACAGCCAAGAGGTGGGCAATAAATAGTATTTGGTATCAGGATAAAGAGCAGCATTTTTGTTCATGGCTAACTTTTCATGGTTCTGCTTCAGCTTCAACTTGAACTCCCTGCAGTATACAGCTTCTCATAAGCCTAATGAAAGAGTGTTAGTTTTACATCAATATTTGTTAAATATTCTAAATAAGCCTAATTAAATATTCTAAATATTTAGTTTAATAATAGCTAATTCATACACGATAACATTCTACACCACAAATCCACACTTCCAAAGAGCTAAACAACGGATGCAAATTAAATCTGGACTAAAGTAAAATAAATTCATGAGCGGCACTTCAATCAAAATTGCTCAAGTTCAGCCCAAATTCCTGTTCCAAATTAGATATAAACCTCATATACATAACCCATATTGAATTACAAAGCCTTATTATTGTTACTCTCTAGTTTGATAGCATCTCCATATTGAATAGAAGAAAATTAAGAATCCCAACAAAAATTCAAAATGATCATAAACTTGTAAAAAATAAATTTGAAACAAGAAACGAACACAATATTCATCTATCAGCCAATGTGTTATATGGTGAGGCAAGAAAGACACATAAAAGATGCAACAATTTGAAAATAACACACCTTCATTGTCTTTTGTTCGAAGCTGCTCAAGATGAGCACCATACATGGCATTTTTAACTAGAATCTTTCTACCTCCAACAGCTGAACAATTCTTCAACTCAATGGAACGATTAGTATCTCCAATGGCAACACTTACAATTGAGAATCAATATCAAAACTAGTACTACTCATAAAATCCAGAAAAAAATTATTAAAAAAGCAAATTTTACTTACAATTGAACATAGCCACCTTCGATGCTCACTTGATCCTAATATAAAAACAAGCAAAGACCAACCAAAAATAAAAGCTTAGTCTAGACAAAATGTTTTTGGTAGTAGAAGAAATAAAACAAACATGATTTTTTGACTTCAAAACAAGCAATTTTAAAATCAATTCCATCCCATGTAAGTATTATTCTTTTGGTTGTCCACAATATTTAAAATCATAAACTTGTTTCAGGTGATCCTGAAATTCAACGTGGGCACTAGATTAGCCTACATTTTTTGGTAACCATAAAGCATCTTCTTATTGGTCCAATCTTACTGAAATTTTCTTCCATCTAAATAAACATCGACAACAAACAATAAGACAGAACAATAAATAAATCCAAACTCACGGAAAGATCTAGGGTTGGCATTTCAGGACGTTGGTAGGCAGTGGTGACTCGCTATCGACAGGTCGAGGAAGACGGCGGCGGAGCGCGATTAACGGCCGACGAAGGTGGAGATGACGCGCCGTTCAAGGGTGCAGCGCGGAGAAATTAAAGGAAGGTGAAGGCGGACGTATGGGAAGGAGAAGAAGAAAAGGAAAGAAAAAGAAGAAGAAAAAGAAGAACGAAGGACAAAAAAGAACAAAGAAGACGAAGAAGAACGAAGAGGACGAAGAAGAAAGGAAAGAAGAAGAACAAAGAAAACGAAACAGAATATATGAATTGGGTGGCTAGGGTTTATTTAAAAATATTTTAGTTTTAATTTTAATTTTAATTTTTATTGTATATAATAGTTTCAATTTTAAATAATTTTTTTTTAATTTCAATTTGTACATATTAATATATAAATATTATATATGTGTATATATATATGATATGTATATGATATATTAATTTAGATTATTTTAGATTTAGTATGAAATTTAAAATAAAAAGTATTGTAATTGTAACGAAAAAAATACCGCAACAAAAGAAAAATGTTGATCAAACCGAAAAAACTATTTGTTACGAAAATATCCGGAACAAAAAATAGCTTTTGCAACAAAAAAATTGTAGCGGATGAGATTTCGCTACAAATGGTCATTTTTTTGATAGTGATCAACTATATCAACTTCCAAAATACCTTTCGATGAAATTTCATTGCAATCTAAAAATATTCTTAAATATTGGCACATGTTGCATTTCATAACAAATTTTTGAGAGCAAGTGTAGAGTTGGCTAATAAAATTCTAAGTGAAAAACTTTTGTAGTCGTGTGCTCACTTGCAAATGACCACCTACAAAAGAACCATCACACTTGTGTAGAATGTGAGGTATTTTTTCATAGTTAGATACGCATCGATAATAATAGAGTCCTTACCAAAGTCAAATAACTAAGGTTCATCAGGAAAGCATAAATTAATCCCCGATAACTAGAAATTTGGATGGATTCTGCTTAGATAAGAACGACTGGATTATCACAACCCGCAGGATTTGTGCTCTTAATGTCAAATCCTTACATAGAATGACTCCTCTTATCAGTTGCAGTTTTGAATCCTTTTTTTTTTTTTCTAAAAGATATTTAGAGTTGCATGATCAATGTAGATGAATGTATTTGAACAAACCACATAAGGTCTAAACTTCTCAAAAGCGAAGACAATCGCCAATATTTTATTCTTTATTATAGTGTAATTACATTGTGCATTGTCATGATTTTTGCATGCATAATAGATAATATGGTGCTTTTAATCAATTTGTTGCCCTAGCATGGCTCCTACTATTGCATCGCTACCATCGCACATAAAATCAAATGGATGCTTCCAATCTGGTGCTTGAATAATAGGCGAAGTGATGGTTTTTTTTTTTTTTGAATGTTTGAAATCCCTCTTCGCACTGCTCTTACCATATAAAAGGAAATTTTTTACACAATAGAGCTGTTATAGGCTGCAAAATCTTGTTTAAGTGCTTGATAAATTGGCAATAAAATCTAGTGTGGCTTAAGAAACTTCATACAAATTTTTTGTAGTTGAGACCTAACATCTTCACGATTACACTTATTTTTCCTTTATTAACATAGATCCCATTGATGAAGACTTTGAGGCCAAGAATGATTCCTTGATTTACCATGGAATGACATTTCTCCCAACTTAGAACTAAATAGGACTCAATACAACAAACAAGAATCTTTTCTAGCTTCGAGAGGCACACTAGAAAGGTCTTTCCATATAAATAAAGTTCATCAATAAAAACTTTAATGCAAGAGTCAAAGATATCACTAAAAATATGGTACATGCATCGTTAGAAGGCCACAAGAGCATTACAAACACCAAATGGCATTCTCATGTAACTAACGTGTCATGTGGACAAGTAAATGTAGTTTTCTATACAACATTAGGATTGATTAACATCTGATGGTACCCGAATGGCCAACTAAGAAACAATAGAACTTACAGAAAGTTATTTTCTCCAAATATTGGTTCAAAAAGGGTAGTGGAAAATGGTTCTTTCGGGTTACATCATTTAAATTTTTGTAGTCAATACAAAATTTCCAGCATTTAATTGGTCTGGCCATGAATACTTGTCATTTATCATTGATTTCCTTTACAAAACCATCCTTATTAGACACCATTTAAGAAGGACTGGCCCACTCGCTATCAAACAAAAAAAAATCACGTTGGCATCCAACAATTTGGTTACCTCATTTTCGACAACCTATTGCATGTTTTTATTTATTCTTCGTTGTGTTTTTTTTTTTTTAAGCAGTGGCTGAACCCAAAGTGGGCTGCCTACGTACCCGAACGAGATCAAACCATACGTAGTTCTTAGTAGAGCTACATAGTCCAAGTAAACAAACATGAATGACTGGCCTAGGTAATCAAAGTATCTATCCTAAGGCAAAAATGCCTAAGTCATCAACACCAACCAACACTAAGCCTATCAAGCCAAAGTATAAAAAAGTAAGTAAAATCATACCAAGACGAGGCCTACAACCGGAAACGGAAGCCCGGAAGTCCGTCGGCATCCGCTCGAAGGAGGCCTCTAGTCGCCCGAGGGAGATCCATCGGAAGAAGTATCCGCTCCGTCGGAAGGGAGACCGCTGTCGTCGCCAAAATATCCGCAACACGGTTCCCCTCCCGATAAATGTGTGAGATCCTCCAAGTCGTATCCCGTAAGCGCATGCGAAGAGTAAGAAGACACCTCTGAAGCGACCAATGACTCATCAAGGAGGAGATCAGAGAAATACATGCCGTCGAGTTTGTCTCGATCCATAACGGCACCAATCCCTGATCAATCGCAATCCCAACTCCCCTCTGAATCGCCGTCAGCTCTGCCAGAGTGTTCGTCGCGTGTGAAATCGGAACCTGATATGCGACGAGCACTGCTCCAGCCGAATCCCGTATAAGACCAGCCGCTCCAACCGCTCCGGGATTGCCAAGCGAAGCACCATCGGTGTTAAGCTTGAACCATCCCGGAGACGGTGCCTCCCAACGCACTATAATCGGAGGCCGAGGAACCGTAGGGGGATATCGAAATCCAAGCTCATCAGCAATATGGAAATCACCCTCCCAATGTCGACGCTGAAGGACCCTAGCCCACCATAGAGTCTGCAAGTGTGCGTGAATCCGCCAGATGATCCTCTCGAAAGACATACGAAGCCCCCTGTGCTTCGCGTCATTCAAAGCCGTCCAAATGAACCAAAATATCAGCAACGGAACATACGCCCTAATGCTCTGAGGACGCGCCGAAGAGAGTCTCCATGATGACACCAACAAATGCGGAGTGTATGTCTCCGGCAATGATACCCCAAATAATGCTGCAAAGTGCCCCCAAACTTTCCTGGCAACTCCCAAAGCAATAAAGACATGGGAGATAGTCTCTATCGCCGCATAACAGCA